TTTTTTTTTTCTCTATCTCCCTTCTCCCCCTCTGCCCCCCAACGACGTTCTTTTACTGCGGTTTTGCATTTTTGCTTACATCATCATTGTTGTCGTCTAATCTAACAAAAAATCCAACTAAAATACTGAAATCTTAGATTGTTTAGTTAAAGTACCGACTTCTTAATGTGAAGTATGTTTACTGTTATGTAAAAAATGTTATTTCAACAACAATTTCAGGGCCACTCAATTTCAGTCAGCTTTCTACAAGTGATAGATGAAATCTGAAAAAAAAAAAAAATAATTATGATACAAACTACGTTAGCAAATTTTCTGAGCATTTTCAATAGAGTAACCTTCTGTTTTGTCTTCGGTATTATTTTTTTGTACTTTGATCAACGCAATAGCTAAAATCTCGAAATAGAAAAACAGAAGTAGCAGAACCCCGTCGAGCTGTCAATCTGTAATCAAAGCAAAATAACTTGTTTATTATAATATGGGGAAAAAAAAGATTAAGAAAGCAGATATTTGTATTCTTTTTTTTCTCTTTTACCTAAACTGCTAATTCATGTTGCTTCGTTCAATTCTGATAAACCGCACAAAAAAAGCTCTTATTTTGACAGTATTAATAAAAAATGATAGCTTTTTTCCTCACAACCTAATTGTCTGTCTGAAAATACGGAAAAAAAGTGAATATTTGGTTTATGCTTTCAATGAGCAAACCTAGTTTTACAGCTTGTAAGAAGCATCTGTCGTCAAAACAGACATCGCTTCGACATGCAACAAACATAGATTGAGAAGTTGCTAATAAACTAGTATAACCGCTTCATATGTCAACATAAGCGACTAGCCAAGTAACCAAACGTTTGTTCGAGTTACGATGCTGTTCTGTTGTCCAGATTTTCAAGATTTTTTTCTGTTGTTCTAATTACTACTCGCAAAACGTACAGCTACAGAAATGTTCACACAGACACAGAGACAAGAACTCGGCAATAGATACAAACGCACAAATACAAATTTTCTTCTTCAAAGCCGACTATAATATTTAGTTCGCTGTCAACTAAATGCTCAATCGCTATCACTTTATCTGAATCTGCTAAGCAAAAGCGACTTAGACCTCTAGGAGAAGCAAAAGGACGTCTTTAAAGAAAGAATGAAAAACTTATTTTTCAACTTAAACTCAAGTGCAAAATAGCACGTTTCTTTCGAGCCAAATCTTTTGATTGCTCAACAGTTTACTTCTTCCACTGTCATAAACAACTGACACTCTTTGTTTAGAAGTTTCTTCCCAATTTTTTTCAATTATTTTTTGTTGTCGTTGCTGTTTTTTTATTTGTCAAACCATATAAAATCTAAAATTGGTTTTGGGTTGTCACTTAAACAGATTTTAGTCTTTTTTTCTAAACCTTTTTGCCAAAAAGATTTAAACAACAGAGAAATAAGAAAAAAGAACAATAAAAACTTAAAATTAGCTAAGTAAATGAAAAAAATTATTTTAAACTAAACGATATTCTCAAAGAAAGCTACCTTACTTCTGATACAACAAATTGAATTATGAGCAGGAAGAAGATATAAAAAAGTTTCAAAAACCAGTTTACGTAATGTGAAATATGCAAAAGTTAATAGCATACTTTTTGCCGTATAAAAAAAAGAAAGAAATTTTGAATAATTGAAAATTACAAATGAATAAAGTGGGAAAAAAATTCATTTGGTGCTACTGATAAATTTTCGTTTGTTGTTTGTCTAGATTTCTGTCGACACTTTTTTAGTCGTTTTTCTTTCTTTTGAAGCTTCGCTTCTTGGCAGTTTGTTTAACTAAAGTACCTTTTCAAGATGTTCAGGTGAAAAATTTGATAAAATTGCATCTGTTTGAGCCATAATACGATGTGCAGCCGACGGCGCTTGTTGAAGCAATTTGTTGAGTAAACGTACTACGAGAATCTGAAATAATTACCAAGACTTGAGAAAACGAAGCCAAAGAAAGTAAGACAAGACAAAGAAAAAAAAACAATAATTTACAAGTTCTTTGATACGGTAGTGATTATAATTTCAGCGTTGAAAACGCTGTTTACATATTAAACCTGAATGTGAAGCTTTGATGTATGTAAACCGTGTTTGAGCTGTGATATAAATATGCTTAGGCGCAAAAAATCACGATTTCGTGCTGCAATATAGGATAACGACCGGAATAGAACGATGAATCCATGTGGTTGATCCAAAAGCAGTATGATAATCTGTAAACAGTTTAAACAGTAAAACATAACCAAAAAAAGAATAAAATTTTTCCAGATTAAAATTTTCAGTTTTCAATCAGGTACCAGATTTCCTTTTTTTTTTTTTACACTAATTTAGCCTTGAACTGCCACGAATTTATTCTGCAATAACACATCCAAAAAATTAACGTTCAATGCTGTTCTTCAATGTTGCTATCAATTTTAGCAGTTCACCCATCAGCAAAAGATTTATAAAGTTTGTAAAATTGCAGATAAAAAACAGTGTGAAAATTTTGAGATTAATTCTGATAGTGTTAGTGACTTAGAAAACCATCAATTCTCTAACCAAATAATATTTCTTATCTTTTTGAATATATTTTATCTGTCGTTTTTAACAAGCAAGATATTGTCACTAGAAAAAATCAGAAAAAAAGGTGAAAATAATAACAAGAATTTTTTTCTTTGGTTCAATAAAACTGAAAATTTCATTTGTCAATTTTTTTTTCTTATCTGTTTTTTTTTACTAGATTTTTCGTAGACATTTCTCATCACCGTGAACCTTTTTTGTCCCTCTTATACCATTTAATTTGAATAAGCAAACAAAACTAAAAGAAAATTTATTCTTTTACCTTCAAATTTTTGGCTTTAATTATGATTGACGAACGTGTGATTAAAAAGAAAAAGCAAAAAAAAAAATAGATTTGCCAACAGAATATGATTTAGCTAAAAATGTAAAAGTTGGATGTCAAAAAAGCAATAAACTGTATTAGAAATCTTTAAGACAAAAGCAGTGTAAACAATAAAACGGTTTGGTTGAAAAACTTGACAACAATTTTTCCCTTGGTTTATTTTTATTCTCTACCTCAAAAAAGAAATTAGATAAATCTATAGCTGTGTTCACTCCATTTTGTTTGCCTCTTCCTAATTTTATCAATGTTTTACCGATGACTAAATTATTCAAATTACCTAAACAAATAAAGACATTTTTCTCATAATTGCTAAACTTCTGTTCAGACTAATTCTAGCCAACAACGACAACAGCAACGACTTATATGATATTGCTAATGGTGATTAACTATGTGTTTTAAATACGCACCAAAAATACTAACTAAGTTTCAAATTAGGACAACGACCAGTGATCAGTGCAAAAAAAAAAAAAAAATTGAAAAGGACAAACAGAACTGTTATAAACGTTGATAGAGCTGTAATTTTGTATCCAAATTGTAAATTGTAAGGATTACGAGCACTTCTTTTTTTTTCAACTTTTTAAATGCTGAATCAATCAGCGCACAGAAAAATACAAAAAAAAAAGATATTTAAAACAGTATTTACCTCCAAAGCATAACATTTAGAATCCAACTGAGGACTGTGAACAGAATACAGGATAACATCAAGATTAGTTGGATTATCCAACAGGGAATTCCATGCATTTGGCTTAAATATTTTGGTAACACTCAGACGAACAGCTGCCGTCAGCAGTAATAACAAAAATACTTATTCTGCTATCACAGTAAATTAGCATTATAATAGGCTTAAAAGTAATGTAATTAAAAATAAATGTTCCTAACTAACAGCAATAAATTTTGAAAAAATAACATCAAAACAAAAAATAAAATAAAAAATAAAACTTTACCGTCTTTTCCAGCAATATTTTAATGCATTCAATACAATCGGCTTCGGCAACCTCAAAAAAAGTTTTTTTTTTGACAAAAAATTTTTGCTTTTATTTATTTATTCATTTATAAAAAAAAATTTTTTTTTCAAACAAATTATTTTAACATATTTGTTTTTTTCTCTTCGAATGTAATTAGTTTTTCAAAATTCTTTTTAGCACTGATTCAATATTCTTCCTTTTTTTCTACATTACTTTCTTTCTTTGAAAAATTTAACATTTAAAAAGCCAATGAAAAAAAATTTCTTTAAAATTTTTTTTTTCTTATAAATGGTTTTTTTTTGTGTCTTTCTTCCCGAATTATTGAACGTTTTATGAGGTAAAAAACGAGAACCCAAACGAATTTGATGTATCTGTGTTCAGGTGTTCAACCCAATGCCAAAACACTGCTGTACTATTAATGTTTTTTTGATCTGACTAAACAGCAAAAAAAAAAAAACGATGACAAGGAGAAAAAGTACCAAAAATATCGACAACAAAAAGGAATGTAATAATAGTAACAAAATGTAACGAAATGATGCAAAAAACACCATTTTTGTTGTTTAATCTTTCTCCTATTTTCAGTTTCAACATGTCATTTTTTTGATGTCTCAATAAAGTTTTTTCGTATAACATACAGCAGCTTTTCGTCTTCGACTAGCCGACGAATTTGTACGCGTTAAGAGGCTCGAAAGTTTTGATGATGACCCGGCTGAATTGACAATGTTTTGTAGTACAACTACAACCTTTACTAACACGTCAATACCGTTATAGGGACGAGAAACAAATTCAGCAGGAAAATATGCACTCCTAAAAAAAATAGTTTTACTTAAGTTCACAAATATCTACATTTTATTATCATTTTTTGTCCACAACTTGTTGCCAAGTAAAAGTTCTATCTGGCTTGCCAAGGTGCTAGAGAGAAACTGTCTTACAGGAATTTTTAAACAAATAAGTGTTAAAAAAAGATGTTATAAAATTTGGTTAAACAAATAGAAATTGCTGTCTATTTACCGTTGATCTGGCGACAACAACTGATCTTTGAGACGTAATAATAGGAAACCAACATCTGAAAGACTAAGACCAGAAGATGATGGAGCTGCAGATGGTGGATCATTCACTTGAATGAAGCGTTTTAGTTGGTCCACAAATTGTCGTGAGGTACAAAACGACTGTGTTACTGCTGACGATTGTGAATGACTGGAGTTCAGTGATGGTCTAAGCGTGTCTTGGAATATCACGTTCATTGTACAAACGGTAATTTTGTCAAGTAGGCTGCAGCCTCAAAAGTTGACAATATTATCGCTACTCCAGTTTTGCTAATAATTTACTTACAATGTAACTGTCAGTTCTTCTTCACTTCTTCTGTTTTCTCGTCTTATTAAGTAAGATAAAATAGTTGTTAGCAGCGTGCTATTATTATTGTTGTTATTACTATTATTTATTGCTTAGTCTACGACAACAATAATTGTACAGTGACAACAATAATAGCAGTAATTGAAGTATGTCGAGATGTAATGCCGAGTTGAAAACTGATTTTTAATACTAGAATACTGCAGGTGCCAGTTGATGGAAACTAGTAGGAATGGAAAATAGAGGAAACAGGATAGACGCAGAAAATACCACAGTAATCAGCAGTTATTTGTAAGTTTTTACCTAGAAAAAAAAAAGAGAAATGTGACAACCACCAAAAATATCTAAACCAGTGTTGCTGAAGTCACCTGTAGCAACAGCGGCAACAGAAACAACACCAACACTGACGACGGCGACAACAAAAGCGAATATCATTGTATTCGAACAGTGACCAAAAACGAATAATAATCACAAAAATTTCCTACAACTTTATTATCTTATTTTTTTCTTTCTATTACTTAACCTGTAAAATCAGTAAAAACAAGCAGCAACAGAAGCCAGGCAAAAACAGCAGCAGGAGCAGCAGTAGAAGGAGCTGCAGTTGTAATAGTAACAACTGCACTCCACCGCTAAACACAACAACAAATACTGCAGATCTACCGACGAGCCAAAACTAAAACAAACTCTACATAAAAATTCTCTTTTTCTTTCATTCTTTTTTCTCTTTCTCGCTGTCCCCCTTCATTGACTAAAAGAA